AACTCGCAGACCTCTAACCAGCTAGAAAAGGGTTTCTCAAGTGACTAGAGCCAGAGCCATATAGCCCTCACAACTATACGTTAAATCCCGGATAATCAGTTACAAGACAAGACCTTATGTTGCTAAAAAGTCATCTTGTTTATGTTTATAGCATATTCATTAATCAAGTTTCAAGATCATGATTGTTGCACTAGCAATAGAACTACCCAATGCAAACCTCCCAAGGTGACAAGGTAATTGAGTATTCAAAACCTAGAAAATCCTACCATAGGTAGCAAGGAAGACACATGCATACGTATTTTAGTGAGCATCATGAATAGGACAACAAGGAAGGTCCTTAGCTATACTTGCCTTTAACTTGCTTTACACCCAAAGCAACTTGCTCAGAGAAGCCCCAACTTTATCTTCCATTCTACAACTTCTGCAGCTTCGGGCACTCAACTTCTGATCTCCAGCGTTCGCAAACGGTTCTTGTTCTACTCGAAGCAAACACCACGCAAAGGCAAACATACAAGAAACAAAGTAGACTAAGACAACACACCACATAAGAGAAAACATATTTTTGCTGTCAACAGTTTTGTTAGGCATTGTGTCTCACAAGGAATGGTTTTGTGTTCAGTAATAGCCAAACGAAACTTTCTTAAGTATTATTCAGGGATACTGGCTTCGGTTTTAGGCTCTATTGCAGCACAATGCAAGTGCATTAAGGTTCGGCCGGCTACCTTCATATTGGTCAATAGTGTTGAGTGCCTTTTGTTTTGAACGCAAGTTGTGTTTGTAATAATCTTTGATTGATTTAGTTTCTTTTCATTGTAGAGGTTTAAAGCAAGAACCTATCCATTATCTAAAGAAAAAAAATCATGGGTACACTAAAGGTTCTGGGCATGCACATTCAACTCACTAACCCCCTTTTCCTGTCGTGCTTTATGACTTGAGTGGTACTCCCTCTGTCTGAAAAAAGAATGCAATAGCACAGTACAAAGTTAAAGTATCTCAAGTTTGACTAATTATATATATATATGGTATAAATAGTTATGACATTAAATAAGGCCCCGTTTGGCTAGCAGAATCGGTTCCAATTCTAGTTTGAAACCAGAGAAACGGTGCCAAACAGAGAAACGTCAAAACGTTTCTACCTCTAGCGATTCTGGTTTTTTAGCCTACGCGAGAGAAACGGCCTGGGACTGGTTTCACAGGTTTCTGATTTCCTCTCTCACATGCACTAGCAATCGGTTGCATTTAGGTTCTTATTAGCCCACAAAAAAGATCAAGATTTTTTGAAACATATTTTAATTTATATAATTTTTTTACAAAAAAAAAATCTTTATTTGGGAAACAGAATCCAGTCTTACAGCCAAACGGTTTCCCAAAGTGATTCTGATTCACCACCTGAAACGTTTCTCAGGAGAATCTGGAACCGAAACGTTTATAAGAGAATTTAGAGCCCTACCAAACGGGCCCTAAGTATCATCAGATTTGTCATGAGATACATTTTCATATATAGTATATTTATTTGATGTCAAAAGTATTAATATTTTTTACCTATATATTCGGTCAAATTTTGGACACTTATAAGTGAGAATGCATCTAGAATTGCATTCTTTTCAGGATGGAGGTGGTATCTTTCAGTTTCCTTTCATTAACTGCAACTCTATAAATAATAGGTTCAGAGAAGCTATCATCTGGAATTGTTCTTGATGAGACCTCAACATGCATATATGCTTTGCCAATTGTCCCGTCTATGAATGTTAGGCCAGCCAAGTGTCATCCCCTATCTCTTCATTCAGTCTAAGGAGACACATGACTAGATGCCTAGCCATATATAGTCTATACATGGATACAAAGAGGAGGGGATCGGATAATATATCAGTGGGAATCTTGCAATAAAATATTTTAGATAAAAAAATGACCACTCAAAAGATTTACATATTGTGCTTTTACTTGATCAATTCGAAGTGTCCACTTGAACAATTTGTTGTGATGCCCTATAGACAGTAATGACTTTGTCCACAGCAGTTGACCATTCTAAGCTCTCAGCAGTTGACATTCCAAGGTTCATCAACTGTGAGTGTTATATGTCAAGTTAAAGATCGGATGCAACCTGAGAATCTGGTAAAAACGACCAGTAGTTTTTGTTATTCCCACTGAGAGAACGCCTGTTGATGCCATGGAGGGACCATGGATTGCACTGCAAATATGGATTGTACAAGCGTGGCATCTTTCTCATGGATGCAGAGAAAACAGATTTGACAGATAAAAGACAGAAAGGTTTAGACGCAGGAAGGAGAAGTTGGCTGTATTTGCGACATTGTGCCATAACAGCTAAAAGCACTATTTTCATTTTACAAATGATGGGACAAATTTTGTAGCCTCATATACCACCTTTAACAAGACTTGTACTAACCAGACAGTAAATCATCAAAAACCCTGGTAGTGGATACTATATTTCAGCGACGATGCAATTGATCGTAAAGAAATTCATGTATAGTTCAACCGATTTGCAAAATCAATATGTCTTAAGTAAGCAATGTAAAGAGCCAGTGTTACCATTCTAACTGCTCTTGTGTTACAGCTGTTGCAGGTTTTGCTACAGGTAAGTAACCCTTTTTCTCTTGGACTGTTGTTCTTTTCTCTATGTATATGTACTTTTACATTCCCTCTTCACATTAATATTGCATGTTTAATCACTTGATTTGATTGAGTGACAGTTATTTTCATAACTGATTATTACATGTGAGCCAAGTAATGTTCCCAATGCAACTCCACAGGATATGCCTATATGTTATCTGCAACTCCACAGGATGGCTTCAGAAACTCTTCATGTCTCGCATCCTTGTGCCTGTGATTGAGTAAAACCGTACCATCTAAAAGGATATTAGTTCTAATAATTGATCTGAACACATATATATGGGCCTTGCTATGGTACACCCAAATAACTGTGGACCGTCGATCTAAATAACAATTATCACATATTAGCTCCTAAGAGGTAATAGATATATAAGGAAAATATCTTTCTATTAGATCTAATATACATGCAAGATCTGACTTCTCTAACACCTTCTGAAGTGGGTACATGGACATGGCCACACACATGCATATAGCGGTGGGCGCACACTTCACACATGTGCAGTCGTATTTTATTTTATATCTTTTATATAACTTGATGATTTGTAGTTAGTAGAACTAATATACATATTGTTCTTTGTATTTATCCTATTATAATTTTTATTTTGGAATGTTGTAGGGCTATTTCGTGGTAGGCGTACAAATTTATAACTTTTATAACGTGACAGGTGGTAGATCCAATTTAATTTTAGCGACACCTAACATAATTTGATGAAAATGACTTGTCCACATTTTTTCTTAGAGAATTGGTAATTGCATGCGGCACCAAAAAAAGGAAGATGGTCTACTGCATGCGGCGCCAAACAAGGAAGATAGTCTACGTGGGGATATGCCTGAGATTTTGGGATTCCTTTTCTATTTTATAACAATTAGTTAATTAAATTCTTTCATTTAATTTTGAAAAATCAAGGGCTGTGATTTTTTTTGAAATCTTACCTTCTACAAGCTAAGGAATATATATATATATATATATATATATATATATATATATATATGTATATATATATATATATATATATATATATATATGTATACATATACATATACATATATATATATATATATATATATATATATATATATGCATACGAGTGATTTCACATAAGCAGGGAATGCCATTTCATCAAAGATTCTTGAAATTTCTTTGTAGTGGAATTGAAGGTTCCTTTTCAGTAGCACCTCTCAAGCTGCCACATATCTGATATCTTGGTACCCACTTTGCATGGAATCGCTACCCTCTTTCAGATGCTCCTTATCCATACAACAGAATGCCACCTCTATGGCCAATATATATTGAAATATTAATTAGAAAATGCGACTTCGGAGCGCAGCATCGCATACCTCTTCCATGTCTGATGGGGCATCAGGGCTTTTGCTTTGGTTGAGATTCTGGACATATACAGGATAAGAACTAGTCATACAGGGCATTGGTATACTGTGCTGTGCTGTTCATAGTGCCTTTATATAGAATCTTGTTTGCCCCGTGCTGACTTGGCTTCGACTTAGCTTGGCAACTTCTGTAGTGGCGGCCACCATCAATATCGCTGAATTTATGACTACGTATAGGATGATATTATCCGAACGTGAAGAAATTAATGGATTTCCACTTCAACAATGATATCTGTGAATGAAGTTCGATCCAGGAGTTGCAATGATGTACCAGACTATAAACATCATAGTTTCATTTCTATTAATGAACTTTAGTTCATCCCACACTTCACTACTACTTTGTTGAATGTCCTACAGTTCACCCAAATTGCATATCCGAGACTACTACATGCATGACGAGTCGACAATATCATCAGCTTAAAGCTTATTATATATCCCTTCTCGACATCTCATCCTTTCTTTCTCTGCTTATTCGGCTCGGCTTGTTCGGCTTACCCCATATTCGGTTTATTCGGCTTCTTTTTTCAGCCGGAACAGTGTTTTTCTCTCACAACAATTCAGCCAGAACAGTGTTTTTCAGCCAGTTCAGCCAAAATTCTGCCAGCCGAACGTTTCAGTATCAGGTAGCTACACTACTGTTACCGTCCAAATAAATATTCCGTACTAGCTAGTACATACTAAACCTTTCGGTGTGAGTTGCAACCCAAGAAGCTTTGGCAATTACCCAAACCCTCCCTGTCGGTTCGCTGCAAAAAGCTTCGCTCTCTTGCCATCACATTTATGTCCACGCCTATATAAACTAGCCTCCCTGCACCCAGTCCTAAGCAAGCAAGCACAAATACTCAAAGCATCAGATATACAAGAAGCAAATCGCACATCTTCTCTAGCTAGCCTAGCTTACATTAGTCACTTCGAAGCAACTCTGTTAAAGCAGGGTTGTTTATTTCTCGCGAACGATCGACAGGACCCTTAAGTAAGTTTGATCCATGGACCAGGTGACAAGGCTGGCATCGCAGCGTGCAGTGGTGATCTTCAGCACGAGCTCCTGCTGCATGTGTCACACTGTGACGCAGCTCTTCCGCGAGCTCGGGGTGAACACGATGGTGGTGGAGCTGGACAAGGACCCGCGGGGAAAGGAGATGGAGAAGGGACTGGCGAGGCTACTGGGCCGCAGTGCCGGTGTACCAGCGGTGTTCATCGGTGGCAGGCTCGTCGGCTCCACAGACAAGGTCATGTCGCTCCACCTCAGCGGCAACCTCGTCCCTCTGCTGCGCAATGCGGGGGCACTCTGGGTCTAGCTGCTTGTAGCGCCGCTATTATGCTCTGAGCGAGTCAGCTATTCGATTAGCTGACAATATATAAGTTATACTAGTTCTGTCGATAATGTTATGTCGATCGCGCCATCGCGGCAAGGGGCTTCAGTATTTTGTAAGCGTACCTGATAATGTGAGGAGAGTGTTACTTACCTGTTACCTCCCCGAAAAATGCACGGCCATAGTCCATAGGCATACATGCATGTCATGTGACAAATGGAAGAGCTTCATTGTCATTGCTGTTGCTATATTTTGTAAGAGTGTCTTACTGTCTCATAATGTGAGGAGTGAGATTGTTTCCTCCAGGAAATGCATGCACTGGCTAAGGACATACATGATAGCGACGGAAGAGCTTCATTCTATGCTGGTCTGGTACTTGCAAGTTTGCAACTAATTAACTGAAAGCGTGGATTGTTTTGGGTATCTTCCAACGGTTTCCATTAGGCAAATCGGCAAGCATATACATGGGTAACCAATCTACTCCTGGTGGCCCATGGCATGGGTAGATGTACTGTTCTGTAGCTGGCGCAGAATAAGTTATTCCGTGGCCACTTTGAGTTACAATAATTACTATACTAATTTATGAGATTATGATAACTCCTTCATAAGTGATTTACTATAGCATTATGGTAAATATCATATTGAATTATAGTAACCCATGTATCGTAAATGTGTATTGTCATTATCGTAAATTGGTACAAATATTATCGTAAATCAAGGTGGCCTTAGAATAAGTTATTCTGTGGCCAGCTGTAGAATAGCCTTACCATACATATATATATATATATGCAAGGCACATGTGCCAGCAGTAGTGCCTGGTCACATGTGTAAGGATCATGGGCCCATGTGAATGATTATATGTAGTTTTGATTATTTAGATTGCAACGCAAAATCCCTGTATAGGTATCCGCCAAATGTTCAAAATACCCTTGTATGAAGAACTCAACCCAAATACCCTCAGGGGTCCAAATTCTTTCTCATTGATCCAATGGACTCGGTGTCTTCTCGACTCTGTTTTGTCTCGACGCAAGCTCTGAGATTCCACCGTGTCCGCCGATCTGCCACTCTAGGTACCCGCCAAATGTCCAAAATACCCTTATATGAAGCCCTCAACCCAAATACCCTCAGGGGTACAACTGTCCAAATTTTTTTCTCATTGATCCGATGGACCCGGTGTCTTCTCAACTCTGTTTCATCTCGACGCAAGCTCTGAGATTCCACCGTGTCTGCCGATCCGCCAGTCCCCGATTTTGAGGCCCAAACCAGTCAAACCCAGCACCGATCGTTTTGAGGCCCAAACCATCCGACCATGCCAGGTTTTGAGGCCTAAACCAGAAAACCCTCCTTCGATGGCTTTGAGATCTAAACCATCAAACCGTCCATCCCCGATTTTGAGGACCAAACCGGTAAACCCTCATGCACGCCTCACTAGGCGTGACTCACCGATGTCGACGCGCGCCCGGGCTCCGCCATGCTTTACGCCTTCGCCTTCATTCTTGACTTGAGTGGCGCCGTCTTCATCACACATGTAGATGCGTATCCGGCCTCCGCCATGTGCCACTACGTCATCCTCCTCCTCCTTCACTTGGTCGATGCTATCTTCATCACCCATATACTCTTGCTCTTGTTCCCAATGTGAGTCACACATGGTCCATTCTCTGGCCTCTAGTCCCTCGGTCCAAGCCCTCTCGTCCGTCTTTCACCGCTTCTGGCCGGTCCATTGTGCACGGACTTCACACATGTCGCGGACCAATAGTAGGGTACCCAAAGAGGAGGAGCTAATGACCATCAACATTGATTTGTCCACGCAGTCAAGAGCGTGACTACGCCTCTCGCCGGGCTCTGCCTTGTCCGGCTACCGAGGCCATGGGCCCTGCCTCATTTGACCCCCGAGGGTTGGCTCCGCCTCGGTGGGCGCTATGACCATGGGCTCCGCCTCGCCCGACCCCCGAGGGTCGGCTTTGCCTCGGCTGACTCCCGAGGGCTGGTTTCGCCTCGCTCGACGTCTGAGGGCTGACTCCGCCTAGCCCGACGTCTGAGGGCTGGCTCCGTCTCGCCCGACATCTGAGGGCTCGCCTGATCCCTCGAGCACGGATCCTTATGGAAGCTCACGACAACCACTACGGTCTAGAAGGTGTGACCTAGGGTCAAACTTCTAGAATCCTGCAGGGAGCGGTCACATCTCAGCATGACCCGTCCCCATGACATGTCATTCTAGGGAACTCACATCACCCACAGTGATAGACATGTGGTCACTGTGCTGCCTACTCCCTATATGGCCGCTGATCAGCACACTGGTTCGCCGCGCAGCCCACCGGGGTGGAGTGGGACGTGACGGCCCGCTGACAATGCCAGGGCATAGCATTGTCAGTGGACAGGAGCCCGGTGTGGCCTATCATGGTCAGCAGATAGGCGCCCGACGTGGGGCTATCCCTGTCACTGCCTGCCATGTCAGCGGGGTCCACAGGGAGGAAAAGGAAGACCCGGCGACCCTGAAGGACTTCCCTTGCCTCTCATGTCCCTCGCTCTCCCATCTGTAACCCGTGCTCTCCCTTGGCCTATAAAAGGGAAAGCAGGGCACCCCACTAAGGGGCATCGATTCACAACATCGCACATCACACCGCATCACAGCAGAACCACTAGCATCGAATCCCGAACACATAGCTGAGTAGTGTCCGAGCTCTCGACACACATTCGATCTTTCCATCAGAGACTTGGGACCTATCCCTCTCTCGCCCATTTGTAACCCCTACTATGAACTTTTTAGTGCTAATAACACGAGCAACAGCAACGAACTAGACGTAGGGACATTTTGCCCGAACCAGTATAAACCTTGTGTCTTCTTAGTACACCATTCGGGCGAGACGCGCAATAATACAAATTTACTCGTTGGTGTTTACTCAAAACACCGACAGTTGGCGCGCCAGGTAGGGGTCTTTTCATGTCCCGACGTTAACATCAGGCCATGGATGGCTAGTCACGGCATCAGCTGGGTCCCGGGCGCACATGTGCGCTTCGGGGACCTAGGCTTCATCATCACGGCAGAGGGAGAGCTGGCGCAGGCACCCATTATTGTTCAACCCTTCCACTCCATAGGCCTCGACGCGATCATCGAGATGCTCGAGGAGCTGCGGCTGCATGCGCCGGAGGCCCGCACCCCTAGAAGCAGCTAGCTCCTCGACTTCGACTACGGAAGGTTGGAGCGTCAACTCGGTGTCTTCCTAGGACCCCAACCATCCCAGGAGGACCTGCGCCACCTCACCTTCTCATTCGCCAACGTCATGGAGTAGCTTACTAGGAGAGAGCCGTTCTCTCTAGAATACCTCATCCGAAGCGCCTCGATAGTGCTCCCGTTCGGTCTCTGCAACGCCGCAGAGACCGTTGGCCACCTTGTGGCGCAGCGCATGATCCCGTCCCCCACGAACGACGAGTTCATGGGGGTAATTGAACATGTCATGGAGTCTTTCCACGACCTCCTCGCAGAGGAGCCGGAGTCGCCCTCTAGCTTTGACTCTAGCAGGGGGAGCCATCACCGGGACACATCGAAAGCATCCACGAGGAGGAGGCTACCCCGATGAATGACCTTAATGACGAGGCTAAGGGGGAGACAACAGCCCCACCTCACATGAGGGTGGAGCAGCTAAAAGCTTGACACCAAGAGCTCATGGAAGTGCGACTCCAGTTCAAGCAAGAACGCGTGGGGCTCCATCAGGAGATCAAGCGCCACAGAGATGGTGGGCGCGCAAGTGCCATGGCCCGTGACGTGAACTAGAGGATCATCATGGATGATGAAGCCCTCCCTCACTTCGCCCGGATGAGCCAGAACATTGCCGCTACGGTGGCCTTGCTCTGTTGTCTTCCAGAGGCCGTGACGCCCGAGCATCATCGGGCCCACCGCGAGATTTGCACGCTGCTCGAGCGTGCGGTGGCGCAGCAGGCCGAGAGCTTATTGTCTCGACGACGTGAGCTCGACACTAGCTAGCACACTCCCTCAGAGCACCCTGGTAGGGACACGTTGGTCCACCAGCCGCCATAAGGTGGTAGGCAGCGCACCACGATCCCGGTGCATCAACGTCTCGACCGCAACCGTGACGCACGCAACACCCTCGACGCCCACAGGCGTACCTATGATGACCCAAGAGAGGGAGCTAGTCGTGGCTATCACCCTCATTGTGGCGGACGCTACGATAGCAGCGAGGACCGATGCTCGAGCCTCGGCCTGTCGGGGCCTCAGGCCTTCGACCGACACATCCTCAACGCTACCTTCCCGCCAAGGTACCGACCACCAACCAACATCCGGAAGTACTCTGGGGAAACGAACCTCAGACTCTGGCTCAAGGATTATCGGCTTGCCAGCCAAGCTGGTGGTGTGGATAATGACTATTTCATTATCCGCAACCTTCCATTGTTCTTGGTCGATTCGGCACGAACATGGTTGGAACACCTTCCATCCAACAAAATCCAAAGTTGGGCGGACCTAAAGGAGATCTTCGTGGGAAACTTCCAGGGCACATACAAGCGCCCTGGGATCCCATGGGACCTCAAGAACTGCCAATAGAAGGCCAGAGAAACCCTCCGTGGGTACATCCGGTGCTTCTCCTGGCAATGCAACGAGCTACCTAACATCGCCGACGCCGATGTTATACGAGCTTTCCTGTCTGGGACCACCTGCGAGTCCTTGGTTCAAAAGCTGGGATGAAAGGGCCCATGAACCACCAAGGAACTCCTCGACATCGCCACCAGCCACTCCTCGGGCAAAGAAGCGGTCGGAGCGATCTTCGATTGCCTCGAGGGCAAGGCGAGATGGGACGCCGACACCAACAAAGGTGCCTCCAATCTTCCTGCCAAGAAGAAGAACAAACAGCGGCGCGAGGGCTCACTCGTGGCCGCCGCTGACCGCATGGGTGGTTGGAAGCCTACGGAGGGCACTCCGAACCACTTCGAAAAACTACTCAAGGGGACATGCCTGAACCATGCCTTCCCTA